TTAATTGGATCAGATTTGGTCCAACCCAATCTGGTCCAATATGAGTCATTTTGGACCATTTTGGATTGGTCCAATTCTATGCTTGAACTGTCCAATCTGTTCAAATTGATTTTAATTTAGATCAGTTCCAACACTAACTTGGTCCATTGACACCTATATTCTTTTCTTCTATCAATGGACCAGATATTGGTCCAATCCAATTCAGTCCACTATAAATCCATTACCAACCAACCAGGTCATAAAAGTGCTTTCATAAAAGTACTTTCGTAAAAGTGTTTTCATGTAAAAGTACTTTTGTAAAAGTGCTTTCGTAAAAGTAAACATCTATGGCAACAGTTTTATAAGTAGAATTTTCTCAAAGAATTAAATGAATAAGATGGGACATGATTATTTTTCATTCTAAAAAGAATGTGGCCCTTGGCAAGAATTTTGTATCCAAACACTAATGTTATTCATTCTTACCCATTTTTACCTAGAATGAACAAGAATTTAGAGAATGAAGCCCAGAAGAATGAACCACACATAGCCTAAACTTCGCGGGGAGGTTTAAGAAACATTTTACCACTTATTTAAATATTATCCCATATCGGATTGGGGGTGGATGCAGATTTGATCCAACTTATTATTATCACAAGATCGTCGAATTGAGGTCGGGATTAGGGGTGGATACAGATCGGATCTGGTTCAAATTCGAAACCGGACAAACGGATAGCATTTGGTCCGAATCAACATTGCTTTTTATTCCAATTGGTGGTTGACACGATTCGTATCAATTTCAACCATAATTACTGCTCCTGTAGACCTCCCGAGTCCGGCGATAGCAAGTCGGCAACCATGTCTTCTCTGCGCATGTTATTCAAGTGCGCTTTCCGGCACTAAACTAAGCATGACAGATCTAACCAAAACTAGGAAACCCAAACCACACTCCACTTCTCATCCTTCACTTCTCCGCTTCAATGGCGAAACCTTAATCCCGACCTCAATTCTGCAATCAGAAGCTGCAATGATGGCCCGAAAATCTCTCCTCAAGCCCACCCTCGCTACCATCCTGGCCATCATGGCCTTCTATGCTTTCTTCAACACCTTCCTCTCCCCAATAAACCCCACCCCTGCCAAGCTCGATTCGAGCTTTCCTTTCGATTCAACCAAATCAGTCTCTCTGTCGAAATCAGAATTCTATAATTCTCGGAAGTCTATGGAGAATTCGTCGCCGGTGAAGGTTTATATGTACGATTTGCCCAGGAAATTCACGTATGGTGTGATCGAGAGCTACTTGATGGCTCGTGAGTCGCTGAAATCACCGGTTGAGGATGTGTCCACGTTGAAGTACCCCGGGCATCAGCATTCTGCAGAATGGTGGTTGTTCTCGGATTTGATTAGGGAGGATAGGTTCGGGTCGCCAGTCGTCAGGGTTTCTGATCCTGAAGAGGCGGATTTGTTTTATGTTCCTTTTTTCTCGTCGTTGAGCTTGGTAGCGAATCCAATTCGACCCGGTGTTGTAGTTGGGACTGCGGCGATTTACAACGATGAAGAGATGCAGGAGAGTTTGATCGAGTGGTTAGAAGAGCAGGTATTTTGGAAGAGGAATTCCGGACGGGATCATGTCTTTATATGTCAGGATCCGAATGCACTTTATAAGGTGATTGATCAGGTGAAAAATGGAGTTCTGCTTGTTTCGGATTTTGGAAGGTTGAGGGCAGACCAAGCGTCTTTGGTGAAGGATGTAATATTGCCGTATTCACATAGGATTAATTCATTTAATGGAGATGTTGGAATTGAAGGCAGGAAATGGTTACTATTCTTCATGGGAAATCGGTACCGGAAAGAGGTAATCGTTTCTGCCTTATCTTTTCTGTCTTTTTGTTTTTTATTTTCTTCTTGGGCTTTTTTTTTTTTTATTTGTGGGCCAAAGCTTGTTTACATTTTTATTGTAGAATTATTGACGTTAATAACTTTCAATTACTGAAAATTTTGATCTGGTTAATTATGTCAAGAAATCGAAGGAAGAAAAATTGAAAGAAACCAAATGCATATGAACTGTCTATTTACAAATTAATCATCCAATATAACCATCTAAACATTTCAATTGCGGGTGGGGTTGTGTCTAAACATCGAGGGCAACCAATGTTTTTATTCTTTGAAATCCTTTCTCTAGAGACCAACCTTAAATTATGTCATGATAATATGTTGAATTTTTTCCTATTTGATTCCTTAAACTTCATTCTTTTATGAAGAAATGACAAGGTGTTTCATTATATGCATGACATCGGCGTCCAAGTTGTATTGAATTATTTATATTTGTTTTCAGCTACTAAAACCTGTGGTATTTATACTCAGTATCTGCTAAGTTCCCATAACTGTACACCTACATGCTTCTTTGGAGATCTGAAGGCAATTGCCCTTTAAAGTATAACTAGCGGTGACCCGTGCGATGCATGGGCAAGGGAAAAATCAAGTAACAGTGATTCATGAAAGTTTTTATATATTTCTAGTTCTTTACATATAAAATAGTAGAAAAAATAATTTTCTTTCCTTTTTAAATTATTGAGCTTCAAACTTATTCCTTTTATATATAGCTTATATATTATGAGTACATAAACCAACCGCTTAGGATGAGAACCAACTGATGGTGGCTAAGGTTGGGGGATGGGCTCCCCCCCCCACCACTGGTATAGCCCTATAAAGCCAAAAAATATGCTTAGCAAGAGATCAATAACCATGTCAGAAAAAAATCACAAAATTGAATTGACAAAGATAACCAAAGGCTCACATTAAGTGCTTTCTTACTACATTTTATTGTTGAACCAAAACGGTCTATGAAACAAATCTACATTAAATTAATAAAAAGAAAAGAGAAAAACCCGATAGCCCATGGAAAGGAGCAATGGTTTCATTAGACTTTTGTATAAGAAGAAAATTGCTTTACCCCATGCGTTGGTGGACAAATTTGGGTTTTGACATTAGTTTGGGTCCAAGCTAGGGTTCATATTTAGGTTGGCCATTAACCTAACCCAACCAGTTTATCTAATTTACACCCCTACTTAAGATAGAGCCAAAAGGGGAGAGAGGGAGACAATGAGAGACAATGGGGTGACAATTAGAGAGTAAATATGGATTTTATGAGAGACAATGAAGACCCATGCTGGCTTTAATTTAGACTTGTTATATTTTTAATGATTTAATTTAAAAATAAATATGCACATGTGTGAGAAAGGAGAGGAGGAAGGTATGCATGAGCTCTGTGGTGAGAGGACCCCTCATCTTCCCTCTTTCCTCTTTCTATTATATATATAGATTGTAATCAGAAATAGAAATCATGTCTCAGGAGATTTGTGTATGCATTGTTAATGTTTAGAGATTAAACTAGAAAAGAGCATGACACCTTTGAATTAGCAATTAGCACTCAATTAACACATTTAGGTCAATGCTCAGTTTTAAGAGGCCTATATCACTAATGGAACTTCTAGATAACATTTGGAAGTTTATTTCAATAACCTAATGGGCTTTCTGAATCCTGGCTCTTTGACAACTTTTATGGGCTGAACAATTAAGCCACTGATTAAAATGGTAAACTTTTACTTGGTGAATCAGTGACCCATTAAGCTTTTTTTGGCCCCAGTTCTTTGCTTATTTTTATGGGCCGCACAATTAAATTGGTGGTTAAACTGGTAAACCAGTTATTTACTCAGCTTCCTGATTTTACGTTCAATCTGAATCTGAGACACTAATATTCCTTTGTTGCTCTTCAAACTCTGATACAACATATAGTCATTCTTTTTTGTAGTTTCTCTTTCCCTCTTCTATGCCTTGCCTTTCCTCCTATGTTTTTTTAGTCTTTTGTTTCTATTTCATCTCTGATTGAGTTTTTGGATTTCTTAGTATGAATCATATTAAGTTTTTGCATGCGCTTCAGTACTCCATTTATAAGCCCAAGATATATGCTTGTTGAACAAGTCCTAAATAAAATGCACTTATTGCACTTGTGTAGCCATATGATGAGCCTGCATGTGAGTATGCATTTACTTTTACCAAGAAAACTTTTCCCATTAGCTGGAGTTCACACAACAAGAGATTTGTCATGGGAAAGTTGCATGTTTGGAATGTTTTAAGTTAGAAATTGATACATTCTTTTACAAGGAGAGAAGTAGTTGATATGACAAGGAAAGTTGCATGAGATGGCTTGGTTATATGCACCTTAGATCAATCATTTCATTGCATTTTGTTCAAGTTGAAGGCTCTAGAAGATGAAGAGAATACCAGGTCATTGATCTAGTGGAATGCACTATTCAACTTAGAACGAAAAACCCAAAAATTGATCAGTCATTCAATCACTTTTGCTTTGTGCTTGCTGCCTCCATCCTTGTTTTGTATTTTTTTTTTGTTTTTCTCTTCATTAATGTTTCCATTTATGGGTAAAAGGCTACTGGTTATTAGTGAGGGAGTTGCGGAATTTTGAATCAAAAGATTTGCCTCTAGATATGCAAGTACTTATATTTTTAAAATGGAGTAGGAATAAGATTCTAACAACAACTTGGAAAATTGAAGATTTTAGTGTCATTTTGTTTTTTTTTTTTCTCATTACAGTATTACATCTCGAGGACCAAGTGCCATTGTTTTTTATAGGTTTACGACATCGCTGATATGTTAAAATATGTTTTGTGCAAAACGTTGTGTCCCCATATTTTGATTCATTAGTTTTGAGGTGTCAATATAGCTGGATGCTAATAAACTCACATGTCTAGTGAAATGCTTTTTTCTTTTGTTTTTTTGTTTTTTTCAGCAGAAGACAAGTTTCTAGTGAAATGATTAGATCTCTGCTGATGATATGCTGAGAATTGTCCTTGCTAAGGGTGTAGATGTCTCTCATAGGGGTAATTGTGTCATTTCTCTTTAAGTTATGTCTAAGCTATGTGTTATGGTTGTTCCTTGAATTTTTTGTTGCGACCCGCTTTATGAACCCACTTCAAATTAAGTTGAGAAAATCCGAAGGAAAATTTTCATAGTGGTTTGTGGTGGAAGCGTGGCTGTATAGACCTAATCCATATTCAGCTTATGGGTTCGAACTGAATACGAAGAGTTATGTATTTTGGGGGTTTTCTCTCTTGTATACTTGGTCTTTTGTCTTGTGAAAGAAGTGTGAGACTTTGGGTGTATTTGGAGTTTAAGTTTTCTGTGAGTGAGGTTGCAAGTGCAGTACACAACTCTGTATTCCTCTCCATTATAAATTACATAGTGGATTTCTGCTCCTCCTTCACTTGTGGATGTAGGCTATAAGCCGAACCACGTAAATTTGTGTGTCCTCTTTGCTTGCTTTCTTTATCTCCGTTTTTCTTTCGATTTTGGGTGCCATTCGAACTTGTTATCTATATTTATGGGTTTTGTGCAACAAACTGGTATTAGAGCCCTATTTTTTGTTTGGCACTACAATGTCATCAAATGAAGTTCGATATTGAGAAGTTCGATGACAGCATCAGTTTTAGTATTTGGCAAGTCAAGATGCATGTCATTTTGGGACAAGGCAGACTACACAAAGTTTTGTACGAGAAGTAGAAGAAACCTATAACTATGAGTTTTGAAGAATGGAAGGAGTTGGACTTTAAAGCCCTAATCACGATTCAACTACTGCTATCAAATGAAGTTCTGTGCGAAGTTGTTCATGAGAAGACTGCTATGGGTTTGTGGCAGAAGTTGGAGTCTCTATACATGTCAAAATCCCTTGCCAGTGAGCTCTACTTGAAGCAATGACTATTCCTGTTTGTATGGTTGAAGGTACACCTATCAAATATCATATTGATGAATTTAATTTTATTATCATGGATTTGCAAAATATTGATGTTAAGGTTGAAAATGAAGACCAAGCCCTTTTGTTACTTTGTTTCTTACCACCCTCACCCTCATATAAGTCTTTCAGAGAGTTTCTTCTCTATGGAAGAAACACTATTACTATAGAGGATGTTAAAACATCATTTCTTTCTAAAGAGGTGAGTGATAAAGACTTGACTACAAATAGGGGTGATAGTTAGGATTCTGGGTTGCTTGCAAGAGGGAGGTCTAGACATAAGAACTTGACCTACAACTATTGTCACAAGAAAGGGCACATTAAGTTAGAATGTTTTAAGTTGAAAAACAAAACCAGAATGAAGAGAAAAAGAATAACTCTACAGAGGCTGGTTTGGTTAAGGATGGAATGCTAATGTTCTCTTAGTGATAAATGACGAGACCAGATCCAAGGATGAATGGATTCTGGATTTGGGTTGTTCCTACGTGTGTCCCAATTGGAACTAGTTCTCCACCTACGAATCTGTTAATGGTGTTGTATTAATGGGTAATAGTGTCTTTTGTAAAACTATAGGAAAGAGAACAATTCGAATCATAATGCATAATGGCGTTGCGAGAACATTGACAAATGTACGACATGTACCAGAAAAATCTCCTCTCTCTTGGCACTTTAGATGCTAATGGGTGTAGTAAGTATTCAACTGAAGGTGGAGTTCTACAAGTAATAAGGGTGCTCTTGTTGTGATGAAAGCATGAGGATAGAAAGTTTGTATGTGCTATAGGGTACTACCATCACAAGTTCAGTTGCAATTTCTACATCATCCTTATTTGAGTTTGATACCACCAAGTTATGGCACATGAGGCTAGGATATATGAGTGAAAGGGGATTGGCTGTATTAAGTAGGAGAGGTCTTCTTTGTGGCCAAAGTACAGGAAAGCTTGACTTTTGTGAACATTGTATTTTCAGAAAGCAGAAAATAACCAGCTTCAGTACAACCATTCATAGGACGAAGGGCACTTTGGATTATGTTCACTCGGACCTATGGGCACCTTCACAAGTTCCATTAAAGGGTGGTGCTCAATATCTCCTTACCATCATTAATGACTATTCCAGGAAGGTATGGGTTTATTTTCTGAAGCATAAGAATGATGTATTTGTGACTTTTAAACAGTGAAAAACATTGCTTGAAAAGCAAACAAGAAAGCAAGTCAAGTGGTTGAGAACAGATAATGGTTTAGAGTTTTGTGAAAATGAATTTAATGAGTTCTACAAAAATGAAGGCATTATAACGTCATACTATTGTCAAAACACCAAAGTAGAATGAAGTTGCAGAACGTATGAATAGAACTCTCAGCACTAAAAGGAAAAAGTACAGGTGGATGGTTAAGAACATGGACATCAAACTCAACTGGGTAAAGAGATCCGCTAACTCCTTTGCCGATGGGTTAGCTAAGCAAGGGGTGGTTAGGGAATATATTTTCTGGGTCAGTTGCAGATTTAGTTTTTATGGGGGCTTTAGCCTCAGTAGGGGGAGTTAAGAAAGTTTAGCTCCCCTTCCTTGTATCTTTTTGCTCAGATTGATTGATTAATGAAATTGTTGTTATTGATCAATAAACAAATTCATAGTGGTTTGTGGTGGAAGTGTGGCGGTATGGACCCGATTCATATTCAGCTTATGGGTCTGAACTGAGTATGAAGAGTTATGTATTTCAGGGGTTTTCTCTATTGTATACTTAGTCTTTTGTCTTGTGAGAGGTGTATTGGGGGTTTAGGGTTTTTTGTGAGTGAGGTTGTGAGTGCAGTGTACAGCTCTGTATTCATCTCCATTACAGATTACATAGTGGATTTCTACTCCTCTTTTGCCTGTGGACGTAGGCTATAAGCCGAACCACGTAAATTTGTTGTGTGTCCTCTTTGCTTGCTTTTCTTTACCTCTGTTTTTCTTTCATTTTTGGTGCCATTCGAATATGTATTTCTGGGTTTTGCGCAACATTATGTTTTTTATTTTTTGGTAATTAAGGCTGTATTTTAAGTTCTGTCCCCTTGCTTTTGACTATGGGGAGCAGAACAATCACTGTAGTTGATAATTAGAAGTCTACAAGTATCAGCTGATTGGTGAGAGTTCATTTGCTCTTTCATCATTTGTTTCTCTCTTATTTTCTCATCTTTCCACTCTTCCTTCTCTCTTTTCTATTTGTTGCATAAAGAACCAGGAATTATTGCATGGTATTACAACAGGTTTGAGGTCTATGATCCTCTAGAACACCCATATACAAATGTCATTGCTCTTTTTCTTCTCTCCTGCAGTAGAACAGAACCCTAGAAGTTTGTGTTCTCTCTAGGATGCAGATATTATGAATCAAACTAGAGTGACAGAGTGTGTTATTCACTTGGTCTATCTATTCTTATTTTAGAAGTCATGGTTGTGGTGCGATGACAAACAAATGGAGGATCCCTTTTATAGATGCTATTAGATCTGTTGAAAATTTTATTGATATGTTGCAGCACTGCATATGCTTGAAAATAGGGTAAAGTTTTCTTGTGATACTTAAAGTTTTTGAATGCTTCTTTAATCCATAATCATTCTTGTACTCCCTTGAGGTCAGATCTGCCACCCACAAGGTTGCTACCCACACACCCTCAATACACTACAGCTCCACTTCAGGAACATCTCCCCATCAATGACAACTGAGATGTTACTGATGTGCAGCTGTCGTGTCTTATGGGTAGCACATCCAGACTCTTGTTTTTTCTTGGTGTTGCTGGTGACAAGGAAGTGATTTCTGTCTCTATGCTTATGATATTTGTGGACTTGTTTATATATATGTATATAGCATGGGCCTTGTCAAGAATTAGGAGTTGGCAGGGTGTGGTTTGTTTTTGCTTCCACTCATTGCCCTTTTGGTTTCTCTGCTTGGGTTGCATTGCTCACCTATGCCTTGTATACTCTTTTATCTCTAAAGAATTTTGATTTTTACTATAAAAGATATATTATCTGTGAACTTGTCACACACAATGTACTTACAGACCAGTACTTTATTTTAGGGAGGAAAAATTCGTGACCAGCTTTTCCAAGTACTCGAAAGTCAAGAAGATGTCATAATAAAACATGGCACACAATCTAGAGAGAGTCGACGCATGGCAACACAAGGGATGCATTCGTCCAAATTCTGTTTGCACCCTGCTGGTGATACACCATCGGCTTGTAGACTCTTTGATGCTATAGTGAGCTTGTGTGTTCCAGTAATAGTCAGTGACTATATTGAGTTACCTTTTGAGGATGTTATAGACTACAGAAAAATTGCTATATTTGTAGACTCGATTTCAGCTGTTAAGCCTGGATATTTAACTAAAATGCTGAGGGCAATTAGTACAGAAAAGATCGTGGAATATCAACGGGAGCTTAAAGAGGTATGTACTACTGGATCTTCTCCTCTTTCTCCCTGTAAAACTTTTTGGACCATATTCTCATACACTAGTTCTATATAGAGTGGACATGAACTCTGATGCAGACTACTAAAACAGGAGGGCTTCTCCTTTAAACACGTGAGTAGGTCTTCCAGTTGGAAAAAGGGCTAAACATTTTAATTTTCTTAAAATTAAAAATACATGTATAGGGCTTCTCCTTTAGACATGAACTCTATCTCCAAAGTTTTGTTATTTTTTGATTCAAATTAGAAAGTTATATGTTTAACTACAAATATATTTCTTTATATTTATTCATAAAAAGAACTACAAATATATCTGATTTAGTTTCCTAAAACAAGAAAAAAATCAAGCACAAACTCTTTCAAGACATTCCATTGGTGTGGGTCCTAGATTAAAGAAAAAAAACTCATCTTGAATGCTTTAGGAGTTACCATATGGATGGTGGGTCCCATTAGCTAGTTCTTAGTGTGAAACCCCCATCTATCTAGTAAATTTGGGGATTCTGAGTTTTTGGTCTCCTCTTTCCTTGAAAGATTTGAAAAAGTGGATAGAAGTATTGAATGAGGGCATTTATGTAATAGGTACTCTTGAAATGTTAAACTTACATAGGGCCTGTTCGTTTGCTCTGAAGTCTGACATCTGAAAGTACAATAATTACATTAAGAGGTATATTGATATTGGTGAACTTTTCTTTCTGAATGCAGAGAATGTTGTTCTGAATTCTGAATTCTGTAAATTATCAAATATCCATTTTGACCCCATATGTGAGAGTTTTTGTTTGTTTTTTTGGTGGTATCATTGGAAAACAAAAAGTTGTATGATTGCACTTTAAGAGATAAGAGATAAGAGGAAACAAAGTGTATCGAAAATGGTTGGCCAGCTTGTGGTCCCCACCTGCTCATATGTTTTCTTGTCTATAGTGCTGTTAGAAGACTGTTAGAATCTTTTTTTCTGTTGTTTCTAGTGACAGGGGCCTGTCATTGTACACTTAATGTGAAAACCTTATATTTTAAACATCATTTGGGGTGGCAGAACAAGCTAGCCGAACCTTCACTTTCTCTTCTATTCTCTCTTCCTCTTCTTCTCTTCTCCTCTTTTCTCATCCTCTTCTCTTCTCTTCCCTTTCTTGTCTTCATTTTCTGATTTATTTTTCTTTACTAGACAGGTCTGAATCTTCTTGTTTCAGACAACTTGGTATCAAAGCAGGCCTGAACCTGCCTTGAGCTCTCATGTAGGTGTTGACCAGCCGACTACATGAGAGCTGTGCTAGGGCTGGAAGTTTCAGATTGAGTCGCCTGGTTCTTGGAGGTCATTGGAGATCGTAGAAGGTGCCCAAGATTCAAATCTCTTGGAGAGTGGTCCAGTGACCAGGAAGAATTGGAGAAAACAGGTTGGTTTCTGATTTAGAGCTTAAATCAGAGATTGAAAGTTGTGCCCAGTAGTTTCTGGGTTGCTTTTACTGTTCTGGACTGTTGAAGTGTCCAAAGTTTCTTTGAAAATAGTACAGCTCTTCGGCTGTTCTTTTAGTCTGGTTTAGACTAGAAATTTCTGGGTTGGTTTAATATTTTTCTGGACTGTCAAGTGGCTGAAATACCTCTGGAATCAGTACTGCTGGTTATTGTTTCCCTTGAACTGTTTTTGGGCACCTGTACGGACTGTTCTTTGGGCTGTTTTTATTTTTGACAGTGTGGTCTCTTCTACTGCCCACTTTGTGTTTGTAAAAAGGTCTCTTCACCAGTACGGACTGTTCTTTGCTTTTTTTGGGTACTGTTTGGTTAGTACCTGGAATTTCTGCTTAGAAGAGGAGTTTGGGCAGTGTTGTATCCCTCATTCAGTGTTCATTTTTGGACCACTTCAGCATGGAAATGGCTGGAAATGAGAACAAACCAAATGGAGATGGACTTGTTGGAGTTGTAAACTCTACTGGTAACAGTTCATTTCAGATTACTACAATCAAGTTTGATGGATCAAACTATTTGGAGTGGGCCCAATCAGCTATGATGGCCATTGGAGGGAGGGGAAAACTAGGATATGTGATAGAAACCAGCACAGGAGGACCCTTCTCTTGCTAAATGGGTTCAAGAAAACTATATGGTTATGAGTTGGTTATGCAATTCCATGCAGTCTCATATCAGTAGAAACTATCTTTGGGCAAAGACAGCTAAGGAGATATCCATAAAAAAAAAAAAAGACAGCTAAGGAGATTTGAGACAATATGAAGGAAACCTATTCTCAGCCCCTTAATAGTGCTAGAACCTATGAACTGAAAATGGAGGTGAAGAACCTTAAACAGGGGGAGAAACCTGTGTCAGTCTATTTCTCCACCTTGAAATCATTGTGGTATGAGATTGATCATCTTGAGACTATTGAATGGGAGAGCCAAAAGGATGCTGCTACATACAGAAAATTGGATGAGAAAAATAGTGTTGAATTCCTAGCAGGGCTGAACTCTGACTATGACATTGTAAGACAACATCTTCTCACTAGAGACTGTGACTCTTTATCTCAAGCCTACTCTCTGGTACACAGTGAGGAGAGTAGAAGGAAAGTTATGTTGCAGATCCCATCTGTGGAATCGGCTTTAGCAGCTATAAAACCAAAGACTAGAGGTGATAAGGAGAGGGAGGTAAAGAAGGATGGAAAGAGAGATGTGTTTTGTGATTGCTGTAAGAAGCCAAAACATACTAAGGACACTTGTTGGAAGTTTCATCCTCAGCTAATCCCAGAAAGACTTAGGAACAAGAAGGGAAATGCTAATGTAGCTATAACCATTGGAGCTTCATCCACAGTTGTGACAACAGGAGCTCCTTCCGCTCCCAACACTAGATCCAGTTCTCTTGATGTATTGGCTGTTGTTAGGGCTGCATTATCTTAGTTGGAGAGTGAAGTTGGTGGCTCTGGATAGTCTCATACTACTTCCACCTCTACTTTTGCCCAATCAGGTACTAGGGCCTCTACTTATCATCCCTCTACCCCAGGTAGACTTGTTCATGGGCCGGGTAGCCCGATGGCCCGGCCTGGACCGGCCCGCACCTCGGTCGGGCTTGGTCATGTAATTAGGCCCGAGGGCCTAACCTCGGGCCTAATACAGTAAGCCCGACTGTGCTTCGGGCCGGGCTCGGGATTTGTCAAAAAAGCTCGGCCTGAGCCCGGCCCGGCCTGACTCAGCATTATATATTTTATAAAATACATAATATGCATTTTATATATTATATAAATAATATAATATTTATTGATATATATATATATATATTTATAATTTAATATATACATTTTTTATTTTTTTCTTTATAATTTCTCTCACTCTCTCTCTCTCTCTACTCAGCCGCTTCAGTAGTAGTAATAGGCTAACAGCATGGGCTAAATTTCGGGCTCGGGCCCAAGCCTGGGCTTCAAACTTTTTATGAGGGTCGGGCTCGAGCTCGAGCCTTAGAAAAATCTGTTAATACAGAGTGAAAGCCTGGCCCAAGCCCGACCCGGCCTGACCCATGAACAGGTCTAACCCCAGGTAACACTAGCCATTTTTGGATTATTGATTCAGGTGCATCTGATCATATGACTAGTTTATCTTCATTATTTCACACCTATTGCTTGTCCTCTGGCAGAGACAAAGTGTCTATTGCAGATAGCTCTCTTATCCCTCTTTCAGGCAAGGGAGACATCAATGTCTTTGATGCTATTTCCTTATCCTCAGTTCTGCATGTTCCTAAACTAAGCACTAATATGCTTTCTGTCAGTAGTATCACTAAACACCTGAACTGTTTAGTAACCTTTTTCCCGGATCATTGTGTTTTCCAGGATCTGGCTACAAGGAAGGTGATTGGGACTGGCCGTGAGACGAATGGGATCTACTTGCTTGAACATCCACCTGGGAAGAGGAAAGAAGGTGGGAAGTCTTTTGTGTCACAATCTGTGAGTCAGATTATGCTTTGGCATAATCGATTGGGTCATCTTTCTTTTGGGTCTTTAAGGAGTCTTTTTCCTAATTTGTTTGAGTCAATCCAAGTGTCCAGTCTAAAAGTGTGAGTGTTGTGAGTTGGCAAAGCATTGTAGATCAACTTATTCACAAAGTAGTAAAAGAAGTTCTGCTCTTTTTGAAATTGTGCATACCGATGTTTGGGGGCCTTATCATATTCCTGCTATGGGTGGGTACAAATACTTTCTATTGTTTGTTGATGACGACTCTCGGTTTTCATGGGTGTACCTCATGCGCTCTCGGGATGAGGTTCCTACTTTGACCCGCATTTTTCATCAAATGATCCTAACTCATTTTGGGGTTAAAATAAAAAATCTCAGATCTGATAATGCCAAAGAATATTTTGCAAAACCCCTATCCTCTTATCTCCTTGAACATGGAGTGATTCATCAGAGCACTTGTCCTCATACACCACAGTAGAATGGTGTAGCTAAGAGAAAAAACAGACACATCCTTAAAGTTGCAAGAAGTATCATGCTGAATACTATTGTTCCTATTCGTTTCTGGGGGGATGCCATTCTTATTGTTGTTTATCTAATTAACAGGATTCCTTCACGGGTCTTGGACATGAAAGCTCCTTTTAACTTGTTGTATCCTGATAAGGAGCAGTTCTCTGTTCTTCCAAAAACCTTTGGTTGCACTTGTTTTGTCCAAATCCTTGGGCCTATTCATTCAAAATTTGATCCTAAGGCTGCCAAATGTATTTTCCTAGGGGTATGCTCAAAATCAAAAGGGCTATTGTTGCTATGACTTAGTTTTGAGAACCAGATTTGTATCCATGGATGTCACCTTCTTTGAAGATGTTCCTTATTACCCTAGGGTTTTACCTCAGGGAGAGAGTGGTGAGAAGGGTGTGTTTTCTCGAGATGTTCCTTTGCCCATTCCTACAAGTGGTGAGGAATGTATTGAAGGGAGTTGTCAAAAGTGTAAAGAATTGAGGGTGTTTCACAGAAGATGGTGGCGGCAAGTTGATTCTAGTAATGATCAGTCCAAGCCAGTTCCTATC